AATGCGATGGCAGCAGTAACTGCAACAGAATCAAGCTACCGAGCGTCGTGGTGAATCACATTGGGTGGTCGGATAAATCTGAAGACACTCGACATTTTGAGCGCTAGTTAGTAAATGAAGGCGCACAACAGTGCCAGGATTATTTGCACACTGGAAGCCTGTTTATAGAATATAACCCGTAAGTTTCCATACATTGCATTCAGTCATTCAACACTAAGGTACATGCATTACTGACGATTATAGAATTGTGTGATCAGTCGATTATGCAAGGCGTGATGAGCTCGGTATCCACCCTGCAACCATTTCCACTATTTTACAATGTTTCGACTGCCTTTCTTACATCCCCCCAGATAATTTCGTCCTAAAGTGCTGTACGTGCTGGGGGCGACGGAGTTTAATCCTTGTAAAGGTGCGCTATAGAGAATCGCCTGAGATCTAATATAATGTTAGCAATATTATTTGTTAGTAGAAACAAGCGACATATGAATTAGTTGTATTTCGGAAGTACTAAAGTACGTCAACAAAGCAGGGGGGAAGCCATTCTTCGTAACAAGAGTGTACACTATGTCACTCTTTCCAAGGAATATTGTATGTAATACCAATCATATTTTTCATAATTGTTTTTGAAGGCATCATAGTACGATATCATCTTCAAGATGATTTTGGATAGCATCACACAGGCCGTCTTAGCTGGTTTCCCGAGCAAAGCGTAGCGGAAACTCACTCACTTCTAAATTGTTTGAGTAATATATCCGTATAAAGGCTGCCCCTAACTTGGAATAGCCCAGTTTGTCAGGAAATTAAAAAGAGAAAGTTAATTTTAAGTTCTTAGAAATATTACAAAGAAAAAGAAAATGAGTTACTAAAGATGCTAGAAAAAAACAACTGGTTTACTGTTGATTCTACTTCTAGCGTGAACTTGCGAGTGTTTCAATATGCGCTGCTCGAAGTTCTTCAATGAGTTAGTTGTACGTCAAGGGGGATGTTTTGATTTTTTTTACGTAAGCAGCACAGCCTATCTTTCAGCGGTACTAACTTCAAGAGTACTTGCATCTAAGTAGAAGTCATAGCATCGATACCAAGCACGACCAGGCCCGTCAGTGCAGCACCAAACACAAACCGCATGATTTTCCCAAACTTGCCCGACTTCTCGGGGTTCTTAGCAATCTCCTGGGCCACTCCTTCAGTGAATTTCGCGACTTGCGCTTCGTCGACGTTCTTGAGCTTGCCAGAAGCCTTGAGCTTGTTGAAGGCACTCTGCCACCTGTTGTTAGTAGTGTCAAGGTTCGAAAATTTGCCGGCCTGGATCTTGCTCACAGCCACCTGCCACCTATTTTGTTCGGCGGCGGGGATCTTAATGTCATCGATATTCTTGAAGTTATTTGCCTTAAGCTTGTTGAGTGCAGACTGCCATTCATTCTTGCCCGCGGTAGTAGTCTCAGCAAGTTTCTCAGCACTCTGCAAGGCCTTTTGAGCCTTCATCTTTTCAAGCGCCTGCTGCAACTTGTTTCCGCCAGCGGCGGCGACAGCGTCGTCAACTTGTCCACCCTTCATCTTCGCAAGAGCGTCATCAAGTTGTCCCGCCTTGAACTTGCTAGCGAGGTCTTGCCATCCTCTCTCTTCATCCTGGGCGCGTAATGGCTCCTCTTCTACCGTGGCACCCTTCAATCGACGAGCAGTGTTGGTTCCAGCTGCCGTGAGACTGAGTGCGATGGCAGCAACAATCACGAACAGGAACAAGCTGGTACGCATGAACTATATGACCTTGGGCGCGCTCAAAAACTGGAATCGAATTAGGAAATGAAGGAAGCAGTGCAGGTCTCACAATGCTTGCACGGTCCATTTGCTTACAATACATTCAGTTTTTTTTTTCAAATTCCAGGATAGGATCATGATGTCGTAAATCCAAGGTGATTTGATTACGGTCCAACAGCATGGCAATTATGGACGTAGCAAATTGTGTTGGCTGAAGGTTCCCCCCCCCCCCCCAATGGTTTCGCTTAAACGTCATTCTGTATTGCGAGCAATGTCGTTCCAATTCAAGCATTAGCGAAGCTCATAGAGCATTTCCTACAAGTTTTCTTTTTTTCATATAACTGTAAACCGCTCATCTTGACAATCCCTGATTTCGAAAAATGCTTCTTTTGTGAAAGGATACTAATGAAAGAGTACCTCCACATGGTAATGTGCAAGCTGGTTCATGTAGACGACGCGCTCGTGCCATCAACATGGGCTGCGACATATGTATCAGTACATAATGTAAACCACGGCCTCTACATTTAGTGGGACAGAAGAAAAGAAAATCCCACACGTGAAAAGCACAGATTGTGGAAAAAGATGCTTTTAATAGAGGGCGGTAGTGAGCGGGTGAGAAGCGTTGCCGAAGCAAACCCGAACGGGGTGCCCGCGTAGCAGGTCCGCTCGGTATTTGCGTAGGCGGGCCCAGCGACGAACTCACCATCGAACAGACACACAACACTCTCCAGAACATGTTTTTCGTCAGCGGAGGTCCGATGGTGGAACCCCCAGTATGCTTTGAATAGTAGCCCGATATTTCTGGGTAATTCAACCGTAGATTCTGCGGATTTGCTGATTCTGACTGTGCTATTCAACCGCTCTCAGTTCGACAGGTGTAGCAAGTTCCTCTCCTATGCTAATTGTTTGCAAACTATGTAATAGCACTTTTTGCGCGGTAAAAACAAATCTGACCACTTAATGCAAGTGTCTGGTGATTTATATCTGATGAGGTTTCATACAGAGGTTAGTATTAAGAGGGGAGAGTCATCTCTATATTTCTAGCCGTCCCACCTTTTCTTGATTTGATAGTTTTTACGGGGTTGCACTGAGGCCGTGGTTTACAGTATGTGTAATAGAAGCAATTGTAACATTTCACTTCAGCTTACTTTCTGCATACAGCCTTGCTGCACCACAGTGTCAACCTAGACATCAATAATTGTGCATGTGTACACGTACATGAATTATTTTATAGTGTGAACGACTCCTAATAAGCAACTTCGGGCATTTCTGGAAAATAGACATCTTATCTCTTTATTAGTAATGAAGTAGACGGAAATGTAAAACCATGTATATTTAACTGATAATGAAGATGACGTTGTTCATGGGATGTATTCGCTTTTTGAGCTTTGCTCGCAATCACAGATTCCACCTTTTATAAAACAAGTACTAAGAAGTGCGTGGATTGGCTCCATTTCCAGGCATCATCCATGATGTCGTATTCTCAATCTGTTTTTTTTTCTGTAGACAATCCTCTTTGTAGTGATATAGTGTTGAAGCCACTCTTTATTACTATCCGGAGGAATTTCTATCTTGAGCAGTGCATCGACTTTACAGTTGATGGTGGAACCGTGACCTGCAAGGTCGATTACGGAG